TCTGAGATAGAAGTGATTTAGACTTCTCCTTGTTAATATTTAGACCTGATAACTGGCAAAAAATATCCAAGTTTTGCTTCATAGTGGTGATTGTTTTTTTGTTTGTATTTCCCATTAGGGTAAGGTCATCCGCAAACAAAGGTGGGATAGGGGTGGGCTTTGTCTTTTTAATAGAATAGGATCCCATCGAAGAGTGTCAAGTTGATATTCAATATTTTTTGAAAGCATGTCCATGCATAAAATGAAAATGTAGGGTGACATTGGGTCCCCTTGTCTAATACCTCTTGAAGGGTTGAAAACCCTAGTCTTATTTCCATTAACAAGGATTGAGATGGCCGTAGAAGAAATACAATTCAGAATAAGAGTGGAAATATTTGGAGGGAATTTATGGAATCTTAGGGCTTGGTAAACAAACGACCATTCCAATTTGTCAAATGCCTTTTCCAGGTCTAGCTTTAGGAGCCAATTTCCTTTCCTTGCTTTTGTATTAAAACGTTTGAGGACTTCCTGAATAATGATGGCATTATCACTAGGTCGTCTATTTTTGACAAAGCTAGTTTGGTGTTCACTAACCAATTTATTAAGGAAAGGCTTAAGTCTGTTAGCAATTATTTTGGTGATTACTTTGTAGAGAGTGTTACAAAGGCTAATAGGTCTGAAATTTTATAGTTTGTTTGTATTGTTGAATTTAGGAATTAAGCAGACATAAGTCTTGTTAAGGTCAGCAGGAATTTTCCTTGAGCTGAAAATCTCTTGACATAAATTGATAACTTTATGACCTAGGGTAGGCCAGAATTTTTGAACAAAGAAGGGATGAAGTCCGTCAGGTCCAGGTGATTTGGTGGGATTGAAAGAGAATATAGCTCTTCTCACCTCATAATTCCTAAGTGGTTTGTCAAGGCAAGATAAGTCTAATTTATTAAAATTAGGGCTAGTATCAGTTACTTGTTTCCATGTAGTTAAAACATGAGAAGTAGTAAAGATGTTTTGGAAATAATTTGACACATGATCCATGATATCCTTTTGATTTTCAATCCAGCGACCATTACTGTCTTTGAAGAAGACAATATTGTTTTTCCTTCTCCGGTTAGTAGCTTGTGTATGAAAGTATCTAGTATTTGCATCACCATTATTTAGCCAATTTATCCTAGATCGAAGTTTCCAATAGTCCTCCTCTATTTTAAGAATATAGTCGTAATCATTGATGAGATTAACTTCAAGGTTCCTAAGAAATTGACTGTGTTGGTAATTAGGGGAGTTTTGTATTCCAGTTATACGTTTTAGAAGGATTCTTTTTTTTAAAAAAATATTCCCAAAGGTCTCCTTCTTCCATTCCAATGCATCTTTTTGAAATTGAACCGTACCTTCTAAAATATCCCTATTTTTCCAACTTTGTAGGACTAGCCTTGGGAAATCTGGACGAGAACACCAAAAAGTTTCTATTCTAAAAGGTCTAGAGTTATTATTATTAAGCTTGTTATTAATATTAACAAGTATGGGATTATGGTCAGAGTGTAACTTTGGGAGGTGGGTCACAGTGACTTTATTAAATTCATGTAACCAAGTATCATTAGCATAAACCCTATCTAGTCTTTCCATTATTAGGCCCCTATTTTTTCTACGGTGGTTGGACCAAGTATATTTGCAACCCTTGTACCCAAGGTCCATCAAATGGCAGTGTTCAAAACAATCCAAGAGAGATTTAGCTCTTTTTTTATTAATAGGTCTCCCACCAAATTTATCCGTGGAGTTTGTTATCTCATTAAAATCACCCGTTACTAGCCATGGACCCTTATACTTTTCATAGTTATATCTAAAATCTTCCCATAATAACAGTCTATTGTCAATGTAGTTACTAGCATAAACAGTAGAAAAAAGCCAAGTAAGGTTTTTAGGTTTACCTCTATCATTGCATGGATGGATTGGCCATTTCTTGTGAAGTTGTATACCTTCACTATAGTCGTGTTCCATAGAAGCACCATTCCACCAGAATTTCCCTCAGCTGGGACCTCCACCATTTCGTTAAAGTTGTAACCCTCCAAGAGTGAAATATGGCTATCCATTTTTGTTTCAAGCAATGCAACTAGACTAGGTCTATGTGTATCTATCATTTCACGAAAATGCCTAGTGAAATTATAATTGTTTGCACCCCTTACATTCCAAACGATTATATTACTAGGCTGTATCATTGAGCTCATTGTTAGGATGTTGTTTGGATTTCTCCTCAAGGAAGGGACTAGGGTTACCACATTCTTGCCTACTGTGGGATCGTGGGGAGGACGGATGTCCAAGGAGCATTTGTAGAGTGTCGTTGGGCAGCTGAAGATACACTTCTTGTCTAGCTCTTCCTTGAATATTAATATTTTTAGCTCGTTTATGCTTGAAAAGGTCACTAGTGGCTCCAACAGTATTTCTAGGTCGTCTTCCTCCTCCTCTTCTTCCCCCTGAGCTCCTTGTTGACCTTGCATGTTTGGCACTGGAGGATTCACATCCATTGGTTCTGGTTGTGGACCTAGTGGCTGGTCTTGCATGTGTTGTTGTGGTGTCCATGGTGTGAAAATGGGGTTCAACATCATTAGATCCTCCGGTGCAAAGAATGGTAGGTTGATCGGGGGATTTTGTGGGAGTTGTTGGTTGGGGTTGTGTGGAATGTACCACATCTCTTGCATGTTTTGAACTAGATGTTGGTTTATTGATGGGGCAAGGGGTTGGAGAATGTTGCTCATCCACATTTGATTGACATAATTGTTCATTGCTAGGGTCATTCCCTCCGAAATTAGCTGAGCCAGAAAGTGAGTGTTTTGGATAATGAGTATGGAGTCTTGGCCGTTGATCCCTATGTTGAAGGAGGTGGCTTGCCCCTGGAGCCCCAGTTCCACCCAAGATTGGGGTACATGGTTGGGAGGGTTTGGAGGTTGGGCGTAGATTATTGGTTGAGGTTGGATTTGGGGTGGTAGTGGTGGAAGATTGTTCAGTGTGGGGTTTCTTGATAGGTGGAAGAGTTGTAGTAGACGGTATCTTCTCCTTACTGTCAGTGGAGTCCTTGCCATCTTCGGACCTTGGGGGTATTATAGATATGGAGGGGAGTGTTTGTGTAGTAGGGTTGGTAGTTTTATGATGTAGAGTGGTAGAGGAATGAATGTTTTGCGTGTTTATATCAAGATTTGGAAGATCTTGCATGGATATGCTACGTCCATTTGGCAAGTTTCTTCTTCCAAGTGGTGCATGGATGATTGGTCTTTAGAGGAGGTAAATTGCATGTCATTAGTATGATGATTGTAGTGTTTGATTTGTAATTGGGTATTAGTGTTGCCAGGTTGGCTAGGAGTAGAGGTAGTTATGTTATTATCTTTTGGTAAGGTGATTAGTCCGTTAGTAAGGTGATTGTCCATTTTGTTAGTTAAGAGATTTGTATCTTTAATGGTAGGATTTCCTTGTGACACGTATGGGCCACTTGGTGAGATAGTAGCACTATTCCCATGCAAATTATTTTTAGAGTTTATAATTTTTTTTTATTTGAGTTATGAAAAACCATGGGCTCTTGTGGTTTTTTGCTCAAACTATTAACACTAATATAGTATGGTTTTCCGGTGTGCTTTGGTGGCTCTAAGGTTATATCCCTACCTAATTTTGATTGTGTATCAATATAGGGAATTGTAGCAACTGATGTCGAAGTAGAAGGGTGTTGTTGAGCAGAGATATTGGAGAAAACCTTGCCTGGGGAGTTGGGCGACTTACCTGGCTTTTGTGCCATGAATTGTGCACTACTACCTGTTGTATTTGGGATGATTGTTCTCCCTTGTTGGGAATGAGGTTGCTTGCTTTTCCCTCTTCTTGGAAAGTACACTGTCTTCCATTCATTGGTGATCATTTCTTCAGAGATAACTTCTTCCTTATTGGCCATATCTTGATGTTGCCCAGATGGCTCATTTTTGTATTGGCATTCAATGGTTGTATGTCCCAACCGTCCACAATTCTTGCATAGGAAGCCCTCACCTTCGTATAAGATAGGTTGATTATGTTGGCCAATTAGAATGGAGGTTTGTACTGGGTGGTTTAGTGGCAATTCCACACAAAGGCGGGCATATTTGCCTCTCAAAGTAGCCGATGTGCATGCATCCACCTTTAGGAGCTTGCCTATGCAATTTCCAATCTTATTGAGAATAATTCCATCGTAGAATTCCGTAGGTAGTTGGGGCAATCTAATCTAAACTGCTGTGCAACTTTGGGATGCCTTGTTTGCCATAAAATTTAGGATCCATTTTTGGACTGATAAAAAATGGCCATTTATGACCATGGACCATTGTGGAGGATTTTGATCATACTTTCCTCTTTCATTAGCTTCACAGTGTAGTAATCTTCCCCTAAGTCTATTAGGGGGTAATTTTCATCAATTTCCAAAGGTCTTGTGTTTTCTTTTTGAGGTATTGATGCATTAATCTCTTGCGCAATAGCTTAATTATTAACGAGTACCTCCAAGGATTGTACATACGTTGTTTGTCGTCCTCACTTAGAGCGATTTGTTTCAAATTCTTGCATATTGGATCCAAAATGGGATCTTCATTCTCATAAACTTGTGTGTCCAGTGGTGTACAAAGTGTTCCGACATATGAAGCTTGTTCCATTGGGAATAGTTCTCCTTGTGTTAATTTGTCCTTGTAGGAAACAATTGTATTGGGAGGTACTTCCTTGTCTTGGGTGGTGGGTTATGTGGTTTATGTAGTATGTCTGGTGGTTTAGGAGGGATTGATGATGAATTTTCCGGCGTAGGTTGTAGTGAGAAGTTGGACATTCTCTTTCTAGATAGCTTTAGCTTTTATTTTTAGCTTTCATACATTGTCGTTCTCAAAATTCTTTTCTTTATGTTATTTTCCGATTATCAGTAACCCGTATTCTTCTAAGTCTTAGCTTTGACTAAAAATTAATTTTTTGGTTAAACACAAATATCAATTTAAAATTTACTTAAATCACTTGAAACGTAATTAAAAGATGAACTTTACCTTTTAAGGACTCCTAAACCTCTACTTCCAACCACAAGAGTATCAAGCTTGAGATGTTCCACAGCGTCACAAAGTTTCTCCCTCGCATCTCCCCAATACACCTTTGCCACCACTGTCACCTATTTTTATTTTTTTTTAAATAATTAATTACAAAATAATAATAAATTATTATAGAAAAAATTATTTAGTATTAAAAGAAGAAGAGAATGATTTTAAAAGTATACATTCTTAACCTTGGAAACGGTGTCAAGCATATTAAGAACCTCTTTATCAGGGTTTAGTCCATAATGCTTAGACACGTTAATCTCTCTAAATTCGTCTAAAGGTATCAAAGCTGTGGAAAAGATGAATAAATACATCAATAAAATTATAAATTATCTAAACATGACAGTCTAAAAAAGAGTTCAAATTTTGTACAACAATGCAAAAATCCTTTTAATTAGACCATGTATCCATTTAAGATGATCAACGACAATAAGTTTTCTAGCTAATTTACGATAATAATTTAATAAGCTCAGTGTAATTTTATAAGTGGGGTTTGGGAAGGTAGTGTGTGTATTGGGGAAAATTGTATTCATAAATATATGGTGACGTGTCATGACACGTGGAATAGTCAATGGGTTATGATTAGTCCAAAAATTACAAACAGGTGCGGACAGAAAGAGGTACGAGGCGAAAGGCCCAGAAAGAGGTACGAGATGAGAAGCTCATAAAGAGGTACGAGATAAGAGGCTCAGAAAGAGGTACGAGATAGAGGCTCAGAAGCCCCGTCCCTACTCAAGTTTCACTATATACGAGCAGTAAGAAGAATGAACCTGGCTAAAGAAAAAGATACAAATACAGCATTTCAAGAGTAATAAATGCTAGAACCGTTAAGGAATATTTACATTCAATGTAATGATTATGTAACGCATCATTTAATGTTAATAAATGCTCATAATAGCCTCATTATAACTTAGGCATAACGTGCATCCTCAAAGATTCTCAAAGGGATCTATAAAAGGGGAAATATGTAATCAGTCAAGACACAAATGATTATTGAAATATACTCCGATTTACTAGCTTACATACTTGGCTACTTCAAAATTTCTTGCTTTATTTACTTTTTCGATTAACAGTAACCCGATTCTTCTAATTTCTAGCTTTGACTAAAAATTTATTTTTTGGTTAAACAGTGTGTACGCAGACCTTACTTTACCTTCAGAAGGTAGATTGTTGTTTCTGATAGACTTTTGATTCAAGAAAAGATTAAAAAACACCACTAGCAACAAGCAGTAACAACAAGAGAGTAAAATATCAAAGCGAAAGAAACAACAAGTAATAATAGAAATCCACGAATAAGAAAATACAAGACTAACTAATACTAATGGTACTGAAAAGAAAACCGTTCGACGATCTATTAACTCTCTACCTTAATTCTCGACCTACACACCATCCTATCAAGTATTATGTACTCGATAAACTGAAGCATTATTATGCATATTGCCTAATCACCTCTCCTCAATACTTCTTTCGCCTACCCCTACCCCTCCTCAAACCCGCCAAGACCAACCTCTCACAAGTCACACCTCCTTTTCTAATTTAATGACTTCAAAACAAAGTATATAACTTACTATAAAGGACAATCCGGTACATTAAGCTCTCGCTATGCGCGGTGTACGGGGAAGGATCGGACCACAAGGTCTGTTTCCACGGCTCGAACCCTTAATCTCCTAATCACATGACAACAGTTTTACCAATTACGCCATATAACTTACTATAAACTGTTAGTAAAAGATACCAACAGTAAGAGAACTATTTACACTGTCACACATATAAGTTAAATATGATTAAAAATATTTAACAACAAATTAGGGAAGTAATTAACATACGGGAACCAGTGTTTTCAAAGAGTTGCTTATTAGTAGGATCAGCTTTGGGAGAAGCAACATGAATAATGATAATCCGATCATCTTCTTTTTTAAGATTATCAATTACCCATTTTAATGCTGCTTTGCTTGTTGCTGAATAATCCATTCCAATTCCTACTATTCTTGCTTTTCCCATTCTTCTTCTTATTGTTGTTATTTCTTTCTTTTATTTTTTCTCTTTCTTTTGTTCTTCTGATTTTTCACCAGCTAATAGCTATATATGTTTCTATGACTGTTTAACCAAAAAATAGGTTTTTTGTCAAAACTTAGAAAATAGAAGAAACGGGTTACTGATAATCGAGAAATGAATAAAGAAAAGAATTTTCAAGTACTCAAATATGAAAACTAGTAAATCAGAATATATTTCAATAGTCACCCCCTTTCACTGATTACATATTTCTCCTTTTATAGGTTTCTTTGGAGAACCTTTGGGAATGTACGTTACACCTAAGTCATAATGAGGCTATTATGGATATTTAATGACATTAAATGCTGTATTACATAATCATTGCATTGAATACAAAGATTCCTTAACGGTTCCAGCATTTATTCCTCTTGAAATGCTGTATCTTTCTCTTCTTCTTTGACCAGGTTCATTATTCTTCTCGTAACTCATGCGTAATTAAGCTTAAATAGGGACGGGGCTCCCGAGCCTCTTATCTCGTACCTCTTTTTGTTCCCGTATCTCTTTTTCTCCCTTTTGTCTCGTATCTCTTTTTGTCCTTTTGTCTCGTATCTCTTTTTGTCCGCACCAGTCTATAATTCTTAGGCCAATTAAAACCTGTTGATACTTCCACGTGTCATGCCACGTCATTATTCATTTATGTATATAATTTTTTCCAATACAGATAGTCCTCCCACTTTCCATTTATTCATCAGTTTGAATAATTGGGAAGTGGAATCCATAAAAGGGGAATTTTTGTCACCATTAATACTCTGACAAAGTTGACGCTTCAACTGTCACTTCCTTTTAATGCACTAGACACGTGTTGCTTCCTCATTGGTTACACTGTCTTGCAGCACTTTTTTAGGCTTTCTTTTCGGCTTCACTTTTCACGAAGTATCAGTTATCATCATTACGGTTCCTTCATCATCGTACTTTTTCCCTTTTTCAGTTACCCAATATTATAAATATAGCCTCTCTTCTTGTCTTGTTCCTCATAAATTGAATTGAACACTTTTGTCTTTCGAATTCTCTTCATTATTCCCTGTTTTAATTCAACTTTTGCATCCATGGCTTCATCGAGTTCTAACCCTAGGAAAACTCCAATTCTAGATAGTTTCCCTAATGCTCCTATAAGGCATAGAAGAGGAGGTAGACTACGCAATCTGAGCTTTGCTCGTGGCAGTACTTCAACGCCTCCTTCTGGTTCTGGTCCTTCTTCTGGAACCAGAGGTTCGCACTCTCAAAGGGGTTCCTCTCGAAGCAAAGATTCTTCTGAGCCACTGCGTGAACCGTTGGTGGAAGAAATAATCCCCGCAGACTTTTCTTTGTATCATGACAAAGAGACTTTAAAAACTCAAGTTGTTGTGCTAGATCATGCTGATCCTTACCCAACTCTAATCACAAGTGTTTTAGCACCTGTAGTTCGAAAGGAGTTCCATTGGGTTGAAGATTTCCCTATTATCATTCCTAATCCCAATCAAAGAATCACCTCTTATATTGTAGGTTATTCCTTTGTTTACACCTACCCTTTTACTCTAGGGTTCAAGCCAGCCATCGACCCGGTCATTCTAGACTTTTGTCGCTTCTTCGATGTTTGCTTTGGTCAGATTGGACCAATAGTGTGGCGAGTTGTGGCCTGCTTGAGGCATCTTGCTAATAAGGCGAATGTAGAATTTAACTTCCCCCACTTAATTCATCTTTACTCTCCCAGATTTTTCCGAAACGGCATATTTGGATTAGCAACTAGGAGTAAAAGAGTCTTGGTGAGCCCTGAAGACGACAAAGGCCGTGGCTGGTATGCTCGGTACGTTGCTGCCCCTGCTGTGGGTTTAGTCGGTGAAAGAAACTTCCGCTTCCCGGAGAAGTGGAATTTTGCACGTAAGTATTAGATATCCCGTGCCTTTTTATTTTCAACCTTACCTATTTTTTATTACCGTGCTTCTCTTTCTTTTCAGCAACCATGGGTATTGTTGAGTCTGTATCCAATATCCGTGGTTGGGTGGAAAAGCTTTTGAAGGTTGTACCAATGGAAGGTAGAACGTGGAAAACCCTTTCTAGTCGTTACGGTTGGAAGCCAAAGACCCATGATAAGAGTTCTTGTCTTTTTCCTTGATTATTTCCGTTGTTTTGGCTTTTTAACCTTTTTTATCTTAGGTTTTGCCACTTGAGGAGTTACTTTTGAAGGTGTTTTGGCATCTCGTGGCCAGGATATATTCCTAGGATCTGAGGAATAAGATGTTGCAGCTCCTCCGAGGTCTGAGAAAAGAAAGGCGGTTACTGAGGAGGATTCTGAGGGAGAGGGTGAAGGCTCTTTGATAACGAGGCCACGAGCAAGGAGACGTATTGTCTCTGATGATGAAATTCCTGACCTGCCTCTTTCTGAGCCTGTTATGGCCCCAGTAATCATTCCTGACGATGACGTTCCTCCCCCGTCTGATACTGTTGACTCCATAAACCAGCTTTTTATCAGCGGTTTCAGTAGTGGTCCTTTAGGGCCGGTTTTGGATGAGCTTCCTTTGTCTTCTACTACCTCCACCGTTCCTATAATTGCTCCTCTGCCTCCCTCATCTATTACTTCCATTCCTTCCTCTACTACCTCTTCTCCAACAATTACTCCTCCCATAATTCATCATACGGAAGTGGGTTCCTCAAGTAGGAGTTCCGCTATGAGGAGTGTTACCATTGAAGTTCCTGCTAATAGCAGTCTCTTGAGGAAGTCTGGGCAAGCCGACATATGGCTCGAACCTTTGATCGGCCCTATTGAGAAGGCAAAGCTTGAGAGTCTTAGCAATATGACTCTCTTGAATGACATTGTGCATGCAAGTTTGAAGGTATCTTTTAACCTTTTATTTTATCAATACTTTTTGCTTTGGGATTCCTAACCTTATTTCTTCTCTTTCTTTCTGTTTGAGCAGACTAACCTCATTGGCACGGAGCTTATGAATCGAATCTCTCTTTTAGAGAAATTGGCTCGTGACCTAGAGAAGACTGCCCAAGAAGCGGAAGAAGCTGCTCGGGGTTCTAAATTGGAGGCCAACAATTGGAAAGGCCAGTATGAAATCTCACAGATTGATATGGAGAATTTAGAGAAAAGGAAAAGTTCTTTAGAGAAACAAGTTCAAACTCTTACCTCTGAATTGGCAACGGTCAAAGTTGCTTCAGATCAATCTAAGAGAGAAAAAGAGCTTTTTGCGGAGCAGTTGTCCACGGCTAATGATGAAAATAGAGCTCTAAAAGCTCTTTGGCTCAAAAGGAAGTGCATGCAGGAGAGGTGGCACAAGAGCTTTCTCGTGTACAAGAAGAATTGCGCACCTCTGCAGACAAGGTCCATGCTTTGGAAAGTTCCCACGCCTCATTGCAATCATCTCATGATTCTATCTTGCTTAAGAATAAGGAGCTCAAGAATGAGGTTACTGCCTGGGAGAAAGATCATGAACTTCTCGAGGAGTCAACCAATATTGAAGTGAGTTGGACCTTTCTCAAGACCCGCCGTGACACCTTGGTAGAGATGAGCCAAGAAAATTTTAATCTTGAATCTGAGTTGGCTAAGGTAAATGAAGCCATTGAGAGAGCACAACAGCCACCAGATTTTTCATCTCCTGAAATTGGTCTTCCCGTAACTGAGAATCCTTTGGTTGAGGTCTGTTCGAGTGAGACTTCTTTAGTTGAGACTGCTTTGGTTGAAGCTCCCATAAATGAAGTTCTCGTATCTGAAGTCCTCGAGTCTGCTGCATCTGAAGTTCCCATGTCTGATGAGAATGCTACAAGTGTTGCACTCCCATTGAGTTCTTCCGCGCCTATTGCTTGAGATCTCGCCCGTGAATGCTTCCACTACCATGACTGAAGATCAACCCTTAGCTGATGATACAATTGCAGTTGAGCCCGTAGATGAACCTTCTTCAGTTCTTTTTCCTTAAAGAATTTCGTTTGTAATTTAAAGTTTCCTTTTTGCAGGTGCCCCTTTGGAAATCCATGTTTAAAGCTTTTGGTTTTTTGTAATTGTACTTCTGGCTTAGAAGTTTAATAGTTTTAAGTCCCCAGGCTATGTTCAAGGGGCACTTTCTTTATATGAACAATTTCAATGACTAAGTTTTATACTTAGTTTTTAATATTAAGAAGTTCGTTTTTCAAACTTCCATCTGTTCTGTTCATGCCTTTTATTTGTAAGGACTTATATAATAGACTGCATTTTTATTTTCTGAAAATGCTTTCATTATCCTCACGGTTAAATAACATGAGTTTTATAAAAGAGGGCACTTTTATATATTGACACTTGATGAAGAAGACGTCTCAACTTCATAATGGTATTTTATACGATATAAAAATAGGAACACACATGTTTATTTGAATAACTTGAACAAGTTTTTATTCTTGAACTTTGGCAAGTTGTAAATCATTCTTTACATGTATTTGAATTACATCTATAACTTTCTCGTAACTGTTTTTCTTGTAACAGATTTACAAAAAATAGAACAATAGATACAGGGTATTTTCTCATAACCCGTTTTAGTATACAGTCTTCACCCTAACTGTTTGTGAAGTATAGTGGGTTTCCCTTAGCTTCAAAACATTAGGAAGGGTTTGAGAGGTGACTCCATTGTTCTCGTGTTTGAGAGATGACTCCATTGTTCTCATGGGAAAGAACGCTATGATGAATGGCATTGTTCTCATAGGAAAGAACATTATGATGAAATGCCATGACTCATTAGCTTCCACTCCGCACTTGTTTTCTCTTTAGGCTTGATTTTACTCCATCTTCTTTGCCTTTTATATACACGTGATTGTATAGTCTATGTAGTCCCCCAAGTGTTTGAGTGTTGAAGTATGAAGCCTCGAGCACTTGATAGTTTCCTTCATTTGGTCCCTTTCCTGAAAAGGAAATACGTACGGGACTCGGGGGTATGATTATAGATGAAGACTGCTTTACCCTTGTATGTTTCTATCAGAATTGTTGTAACCCTGGGCCTGAA